AGACGGACTGTTTGATCCACTCTAAACATTCTAGAAGTTTTGTTTTCTATTTTGTAAGCAATTATCCGCCTAATTGGATTACTGCTTACGCGAACATCTTTTAACTAAGAGTTTGACAAAAAAAGAGAGAGAAGAAGTTAATATTGAAAGATTCTCGTGTTAGTTTACAAATATTGAAAAATTCTCGTGTTAGTTTACATCCACATGTCTGGATCCTAACTCTAGTAGTAAAATAAAATAAAAACACATAATCTATATGGAAATGAAATCGTTTTAGTTTGATGAATTGATTGATAGGAATAACTTATTTAGTTACAAAATAGTCGTCTCAAACTTTATATCATAAGATGCTCTCTTCCTTATTTAGTTACTATCATTTTTTTTTAGAGAATTTTGTTTGTTTCAAATCAAAAATTTTTTTTTTCTAGTTTTCTATACAAAATTAAATGAATTATTATTTTATATGATTATTTGTATTTTATAGTTTGATTTATTATTAGTTGAATTATATTTAGTTTAATAATAAATAATGTTTTAGATTAGAAAAAAATAAAAGTTTAATAATGTAAGAGATTAAAAAGTCAATTTAATTTTTTCCTTAAAATTTTTCTTTTTGTCTTTTTCAGACGTTTTTCCTTTTTCTTACAGGATTTACTTATTTTGTGTTTGAGTTTTCTCTATATATATATATAGAGATCCTAACTGAATTGTAATAGATATCACATTATTCTTAATTGATAGCTTGCAAGAAACGCAAAGAGTAAACAGAGAGATTTTAGGGTTTCGAAACGAGCAATCACTAGCAATCATGAGACCACGCAGCAAAAAGACCAAAGCCGTCAACATCTTTACTCAAATCCCTCAGGACCTAGTGATCGAGATCATTGGTAGATTACCTATAAAATCCATAGCTAGATTTCTCCTAGTATCCAAGTTATGGGCAAGGATCATTCGTCGTCGAGATTTCATAAAATCTTTCCCGTTTAGGTCTTGTTCCTCGCAGCCTCGTCCGCTAGTCGCTCTCATTGACATAGATCCTCGAAGGGAACCCCAAGGCTGGTACTTGTTCTCGCCTTCTTCGTCATCATCAATCTCTTTTCTCTCACGTGCGGCATTTCCCTTCCCAAAACCTACCTCCTGGACGTACCATTNGCATTATGTTAATGGCTTACTAAGCATCGGCAGTGGTCAAAAACAAATCATAGTTAACCCTAGCACCGGTAAGCCCGTACCTTTACGTAGAGTCAAAACCAGGAGAAAGATCGCAAAAACATTTTTCGGGTATGTTCAGCTAATGATGAGTACAAAGTATTGTGCATGACCGAGAAAATGTGTGGTCATCCGAAAGAATCATCTCAATATCAAGTATTCACATTGGGAGCTAAACAAAAATCATGGAGAATGATAGAATGTAGCATTCCTCACCGTCCTTGGTCTAACGGTGTGTGCATAGATGGTGTTGTGTATTATGTTGCTGACACAGGGCCGGAATTGTCTCAACTGAGCTTGATGAGATTCGATGTGAAGTCTGAAAAGTTGGATCTTATTACTGGAGTTTCCGCGGATATTGTATCCAAGGTTGTGTATGGTGACATTTTTGTTTTGAACTACGAGGGTAAAGTAGCCATACCCTTTCGAACTACATCATATACATTTGATGTGTGGGTTTTGGATCAGGATGCTAAAAAACATAAATGGATGAAGAAACTAAGTTTTAGTATTGAGCCTTGGAAGAATTTATTTCCTTTTATTAATGAACTTTGGAAGACACTAAGCATCATAGGCATTACTCAGACAGGTGAGTTTATTTTGGCACCATTAATGTACTCTTCTGGTGAAGTTTATTTTGTTCATTACAACCACAACCGAGAGTTTAAGAAAAATTGAGCTTGATCATGCACCGTATGGCTTTGAGGGTCATTCTTGTATGAGAGGAATTGTTTTTTCGGATTACGTCGAGAGTGTTAGATTGTTGTAGAGGAGATAGTTCATGATTTAATATCCTCATTTTTTTTTCCTTACTTTCGTTGATTAGTGTTATTTAATAAACTCTCACGCGTTGCGTAAAATTTAAAGTTAACAGGGTGAAATATGCAATAATTGATAATGTATTGATTATTTGTGTATTTAATATCATATAAATTTAGTGTTTATAGTAAATAATTATCTAAGTTATAAAACTAACCATTTGCACCAAATTATTGTACAAATACAATGTAATAGACACAAATCTTTAACTTGTATGTATTTATCTATATTCACTATGGTTTCCTAAAACAACGATTGTAAAAATCTATTGATTAGACATGTTATAGTATATTTTTCTTCTATAGAGACATCTGCATATCCTCAACAGAAATATTGGAATGCATCTTTCTGTTGATTTCATTAGAATCTTGAATTATAATAAGAGAATAATTGATGCTTGATTGTATTTGTATCTCACTTTATTTGTCGATTTGCTGTGATATTTATCTTTCACATTGATTAATTGGTAAAATGATTCTCTTCTCTACATTTACAATTTGTGGTGGAGTAAGGTTTTCTGTCGAAAATCTTGGTTAGGAGAGTTCTTTTGTCCAACACAACTTATTTTTAATTGTATTAGGAAGTGATTGTTAAATTGGCTTTAAAAGCTATGAAAACATTTAATAAAACGTTACGCATCTTAAAACTTTTTTCTAAAATATTACATATCATTTTTTTTTGTTTTCATGTCATGCATTTTTATTAAAACTTATCTTCTGTGATTTTTGTTTTAAAATCAGAGTTACCTATATAAAAGTCAAAGTTTTAAGTTTTTTAAACGTGTTTTTGTATAGTATACTGTTTAATTTGGTAAATGAA